CCCAAAAAAAAAAAAAAAAAGATCTTGAGCACACACGCATACGCACCCAGCATGAGTTTAAGCCACCAGGTGCAGGATTCGAACTGTGGTCTACTAAGTGAGAGTCCAGCAACATAGCTGTTACGCCAACTGCTGATCCCCTGGCATGAGTTTTAAGCCGCCTGCTCTGGAACTCAAACCACAGTGACTATGTGGGATGTAACCATTATGCCATCTGCAGGTCCCCCTACCTTTATTTATTTATTTTTTAATTAGCCAGAGATAGCATACACTTGCCAGAGATAAAGAGACAGAGAGAGAGGGAGAAAGACCCCCAGTGGGGTCATGCTGTAATCTCTTCTCCATCTCTCCATTCTGTTGAGATCAGGGCACAAATGTACACATGTCCAGTATGTTTTTCAAGCCTCTGGGTCCAGGATTTGAACCATGTGGATAGACACATGAACTCCAACTTTTTTTTTTAATGCCTTTTCCCCCCATTTTATTTATTTCCTAAAACACTTAATTAATCTAAGTATTTCCAATAGCAAGCACAGCTGATATATACATATCCATGAACACAAGTCTGACCCTAGGCATAAACCTCAGTGAGTAGAATGAACATACAACAAAGTAGCACCCAGTTGGGACTATATAGCTTACTACAGTCTTCAAATACGCATTTCTTTTTTTAATGTCATGAAAAATGGTTTTCATGATTTTTTTTCTCCTGAAACGTAATTAAGTTACATTCATCCCCAATCATCGTCACAGCATACAATAAGTAGTTTTCCATCCAAAATATACTGCATAGTGGCTTAATTATATATGTTATCAATAATTATATACATATACGCACACACACAAGCAAACACACATACACATATTTACCCCTATGTCTGATCCTCTGCCCTTTCCCACCCTCTTCTTATACTATCTCTGCTGTCTACAGTTGTCTTCCATTCCTTTCCCTTTTTTTTTTTTTTTTTTTTTTTTTTTGGGTTTTTTTTATGGGGTGGATG